AAAACACTTTTTACCTTCCCCGTAGCAGCAAACCTAAGCACTTGTTAAATCTAATGGTATTTAAATTGGGAATAAATATGTCTTATTCATGGAAATATTTTAGTAATAATGTAATCAGACAAGTTGAAATTCGCTTAGTCTGCAGGTTTGCTGCGGCGGGGGTATTCAGTATTTTATACAGACGATACCACATTAATGTGTTCGGAACTAGAAATTGACAATGTGAAACAGAACTTGTCTCAAGCTCTTACTTGTGCCAAATCTTGGTTCAAAGCTAATAACTTAACCATCAATGAAGAAAAGACTGAATTGATCTATTTCTCTCTCAAGCAAGTACCAGATCATGTAAGTAGGCTAGTGATGTTAAACTACTAGGGTTCACATTAGATTCCAAAGTTAAGCTGGAAACCACATATTCTTAACTTATGAAAAAAACTGTCTCGTGTGGTTGGCTTGTTACGTAAACTTAAATTGTCTGTAAACCTGGATACATTGATTATCACATATTATGGTCTATTTCATTCCCTCATTAGTTATGGCATCCGTCTCTGGGGAAATTCCCCCCATGTAACCAAAGTTTTTCGATGGCAGAGAAAAGCCATTAGAGTACTTGCTAACCTTGCCTCTAGGGGTTCTTGTAGAGCTAGTTTTGTGGTAGGCCTACTAAACATCCATGACTGTGCCTTCTTTGTATATTTTTAGTAACCTCCTCCATGTAAAACAAAACATCAACTCATTTTCTACACAAGCTGCCTGTCATGAACACTTAACCAGAAATAGAAATGATCTGTTTTTAAAGTAAATGTTGATTGGTATCCATGGCAATTGACAACAAAGAGCAAACTCATAATGTTTTTGTAAATGGTAGTCTTTGTAAAGTTACGTAGGCCTGATTACTGTTGACACTTGGTAAAATAAAAGACGAGTTATCGGTTATATTTCTTAATCTAAATCGAACGGTCGGTATACTTTATTTGGATGGCAAATATTCTTGATTAAATATATATATTATTGGTTATTTATGGTTGTTGTAGGTAAACTTGTTAATTTTAAATCGTTGATCGATAGTATACTCAATGATAGTATACTCTGTTAATAAAGTTTTAAATAAAATATTAAAATACTAGACATCAATTCAATCCACAGTCGAGCGTTGATTGGGAATCGTATACAGTAGTGTAACTTAAATCGTACGTTGTCTGTATATTGTCTACACTACAGTACAGTTCCGCCATTGCTTGCTACACGAAAAACTAACGCAGACAAATACTTATTGAGCTCAAGTCAATACCGGCAATGATGGAAATAGTTGCTCGCACTGAACTAGAGCTACAACCGAAGGTAGCACTGAATGCGAGAATGCCGAGAATCGCGAGACGTTTGCCACCATTTGTACTAGAGTAGTACTTTGGAACTGAGGTTGTGGGATTGCAATAATCAAGCTAACAGTCAATGAGCTTAGTGCTACCAACATAACAACATTTTACAGCGTCTCGATTTTCTAGCAGAGTTACCGTGTCAGTGCTACGTCAATTTGGATGTTTTCGGTCTAAGCTAATTTTGTTTCGAAAAAACAAGAGGGGTTCCCTGATTCCATTTACTTATCAGACATTGATACGATATTTAACTGAGAGCACACAATAATTTTGGGCCGGCATGAACTATGCCGGTTGTCTGGTTCAGAATTTAAACGAACAATTTAACATTGAACATGGCAACAACTTCCTTAAATATGAGTTTTTATATGGAATTGGTATCAATAATTGTCGAGTAATATTTCAGAACTGGTATCGAATCGAGAAATTCTGTCTTTAAACAATGGCTATTCCCTATAGGACGTAATTCAAGCCATGGCCATGAGTTTTTAAACCACTATGAGCTTTGAGGCACAATGACTAAACTGTCTTTCTCTCTCTCTCTCTCTCTCTCTGTCTAACTCACACAAACAACAATCTCGATATCACTGCATTCAGTTTCACACCACTTGCCCCTTGTGTCGTCTCCAGGTGACATATTTGGGGTCTTAAGGTTTCAAAAACAAATTCACGGCAAAATCAAGGTTTTTACACGGTTGACCTAATTCGTGGTTTTAAGGTTTTCACCATTAAGAGGGAATCTGATGTAGTAAGAATTACCTACTACAAATTGGACTGAGTGACAAAGGGTATGTACCTAATTTAGTCTACTTAGAGCAGTTCAGGGGCTAAAACAATGGATTTTATTTCAAAAGCTTTCATTCGATACTATCACAATCAGTAAATGCGCCGCAAACCTGCAGATTGCAACACCCATCGCCCATCGCTGGTGGAGCGAACGATAGTGGAGTGAACGCCAAGTTCACTATGATTACATATTTTTTAATAATACTGATTGTTCACTCCACCGAGCATTTGATCCACTGTACAGTACACTTTGAAATTTGTATTTTCTACATGTACGTCTACTTCTGGAGCTGACTGTACCCGGTTGGAATAGTGAAGCCAACAAACAGCCAAAGAATTTGTTTAGGGTGGAGTGAACAACCGTGGAGTGAATGCAATAGACCCATTTGTATGACAACTGAAGACAAAAACTATGTTATACTTGTAAGTAATTTAATAAAATGACATTGCACTTTGTATTATATTTCAGTAGTGAAATGAACATGATCAACAACTTACGTTTTGTCAGAGCCAGACTGTCTATCAAACTCGCGCTTGCCACGTCCATCGAAACCACCTCTGCCTCCTCTTCCACGACCACGGCCCATGCCTCGTCCAGTGCCTCTGCCTCCATCTCCTCGGTTTCCTTCCCTTTCCTCCCTCGGACCTTGGCGCCTCTCAGGTCTCCTCTCACCTCCACGATCCTCCCTGCATCATAAAACAGATAAATATACCATTCAATCAATAAATATTTTATTTAGATTTCTTTAAGGAATATGAAGTCTTAGTGGCTTCCTGTCCTCCTATTAATTTATTTATCATCACGTTACATCAATGTTTGACAGGTGATTTGTCTTCAAACTAAATCTATTGTAACAAACAAACAACAACCAAAAGGCCTACTTAAAAATAATCATACATATTTTTGAAAATCTTCCAGTGAATAAAATGCCTTCTCCAGAAGCCATATCCTAAATTTCAATGTGCAATCAATTCCTTTCATTGTCGAAGGCAGCTTATTATAAATTTTAGGTTCCATATATTGTGGGGATAAATTAAAAAATTTTAGTCTATGTTGCACTGGTTTTATTAAATTTTTATGTCTTGTATTATCATGGTTTTGGGCTAATTTTTATTTTTTTTATTACAACATTTAATCATATTATGCATTACATAAATTCCAGGTCTTAGCTTTTGCTCAGGCTATTCACATGTCCTGTCCAAGAGAGTTTAGTATCGATGGTCATGCCTAGTACAGGGTGTTTAGTTTATTTCCATTATAAAATTCAAGACTAATTCCAGACTTTTCAAGACTAATTCTAGATTTTTAAGGACTACTTTTTTCAACGATTAGTGACTGTTGATACCAAAATGTATCGATTCTCAATTCATGATAGCGATACCAATTTGTATAGCTTAACCAAATTTTCTAAAAAATCCTGTCTTTGTTGTCATAAAGTAGTATTAAGATAATGTGGTGTTTTCGAGAGAAAAAATAATACAGCAGTAAAAAATTCTAACTAGGAAATTTGTTTTTTTTTTATATCATGTATGCGTACGTTTAGACATCATCATCATTGACTGCCGCGGTTCCGGAAATGTCATGTCATAGTTGCCGTCCGTGACGCAGCAAAATCATTAACATTTGCCGCGGCCGTATAAACATCATCATCGTCTCCGGCGATGTTTATCTTTTCTTTGCGATTATCTTTATTTATCAAGTAGATAAGGAATATATACATGAATAGAATCACATTTCTTAATGATAAAGTTATAATTTAATATACATGCTTATAGTAAAAGAAAAATTGTAAAAGAACAAAGAATTAACAGATAAAACATACTTTGATAAGTAGGGAAAGAGAAGTCAATTACAGTTCAAATGAATAAATAGCCTTGTTAATGATAAATTTCTTAAGTTTAAGTTAAGACATCACCGTCATCTCCATGTTGACGCATGTACTATTCTCCCACGAATATGTAATTAGAGAACATTGTCTATTGTCTATCTCCTGCGGTCAAGTAAACGTCATCGTCCGCAATAGCGGCATAATCATGAACATTTAGCGCGGCCGTGTAGACATCATCGTTGTCTCCTGCGGCTGTGTAAACATCATCTTTGTCTCCCGTGGTCACGGAAACGTCATCGTCGTGCCGTGCAGTCACGGAAACGTTATTGTCGTATCCCGCTGTTTCGGAAACGTCATCGTCGTCGTCCGCGATACTGACAAAATCATGAACATTTCCCGCGGCCATGTAGACATCATCATTGACTACCGCGGTCACGGAAACGCCATCGTCGTCGTCCGCGATACTGACAAAATCATGAACATTTCCCGCGGCCGTGTAGACATCATCATTGACTCCATCGGTCACGGAAACGCCATCGTCATCGTCCACTATCGCGACAAAATTGTGAACATTTCCCGAGGCCGTTTAGACATCATCATTGACTCCATCGGTCACGTAAACATCATCGTCGTCTTGCGCGATCGCGGCAAAATCATGAAAATTCCCGACTTTGGTGTCTAAATTAAGACTAAATCCCGACTTTTCAAGACCATTTTGAAATTCAATACTAATTCCCGACTTTCCCGTTTTTCCCCACTACTAGACACCCTGCTAGTAATTTGGACTGTTACACCCTTCTGCCAAATTTCAGTTGCATAGTTTTTTTTTTACAGTTGCATAAGTCTGGATTTATTGCCAAGTACCGTAGCTTTGTAGACAGTAAGTAAGTGATTTAGTGGTTAGTTCAGTGTTCTCTTAACTCTCAGTGATACCATTGATTATACAGTAGAACCTCGATTATCCGGGGTAATGGGGTGGGGGAGGGAGACCACGGGTAACTGAAAACCACGGTTAATCCAACATGCCATAAACATGTATACAAACCCATGAAACGCCTAATACTATATAAATGGACTTTAATGTGATGATTAATTTGCACTTTACATTGACAAATTGAAATTTGCTTGGTCTGTAGGTTTACTACAGCAGGGGTTAAATAGTAAATTCTTTTGTTATAAGGGTGTCACATACAAGTGAATGCTATAGCCTATCCGTCGTGTTTCCATTTATTTACTCACCAGCACATACAGTTCAAATTTCATCCAGTTATCAGTAACAAAAATAGTAGAAGCTGAAACTATTTTGGTTTTTGGTTGAATTCTACGTTATCACTAGTTAAGAGACAAACACTGACTAAAACTACACACCAGTTACAGACAAGTTAACACACTGGTTAGTTACTGTTCTACTAGAGAAAAAGTTGATTCACCCCAAAGCTTTTAGTTTTAAATTTCCCTTCACATGGGAATCCCAACAATAATTGTTGTTACACATAACACAAAAGTTACCATTGAAAATTGTTGCTTAAAAAATCAAAATAACTAGTGGAACCCCGTCGAAATCGACGGTTAATCTTGAGGTTTTATGTAAATTCAGCTAACTGCGATGGATAGAGTGAAGTCATTAAAATCTTAGTTAAATGAAGGGAAGATAAGCAATAATAAGTATGACGATTGTGTTCCCTAAAAACGTGATTGATGAATTCGTTTAACACAATATTTCCTACCTTTTTATCGGCTTTAAGTTGCCCAAAAGGTTTTTTAGGAGTCTTATAATTGTTTGTTCATGAGTTTGTTTCTTGCCAAAGCCACTTTCACTTTATGGGAGAATAAGTTCATATAATTAGTCTATCATGTTACGGAAAGAGTCAATATTTATTACTAACCACTAATTTCATCTGCTTTAGGAAAATCATTCAGATTTTATCCGGATTTATAAGTAAATCTTCATCTTTGGTCATGAAAATACAGAATTCTATCAGCATATTAAATCAGTTTTTTTTTTTTGTATTTGATAAAAATATCTGATTCTCCAGAAAGCAATAACATTCTTACTTCGATCTCAGCAATTTTAATTCGTTCTCTTGCCACATCGAACCATGTATTTAATCATCCTGTTCTTACTTGATAATTCATTAACTTATGGGGTAGTTTTGCCTTGGCCATATCGATCACATAAAGCTGTGCATGTATTTCGTGGATGGAATGAACCATAATTGTAGGAAATTTGATCACATATCTTGAACATTTGCGGAACCAAATCCATAACCTAGTCCAGCCTTGGTAACAAATTATGCAAATGCGATGAGATGTGATGACACTGTTGTGTTTCCGAATGTTTTGTATGTAGTGAGGTTTAGATGTGTTGTTCGACATAGCTACATGTGTACATCAAAGTAAAAACTGTGTACACATTTTTTTTTTAATACCTGAATTAGTTCACCTACTTCACCAAAACCATAGATGAAACATACTCCGTAGTTAGTCTATTCCAAAACTTAAACACAGCTCTCATCCTCAACGTACTCATCTATGACACAATTTTCAACCCGATTATCAAAAACTTGTATACCAATAAATGAATATCTTGTGTTCTTTCTTGAATTTAAAAATAAATGGTGATTGAAAGTAGGAAAAAAGGCAAGTGCCAACCTTACAATATATATATAAGCTAACCCGATAAGGAATAACTATATGTTCCTTTGAAATTGATACATCACACTTATTTCATAATTTAAAAATTTCTAAGAGCAATAAAGCATAGATTTTTGAACAAAACATTTAAAACGTATCATAAATTCATCATTTTGATGAAACTATAAAAAACTTGCCATGCAGTGGAGAATCTATTTAAAATCATAAATAATAATGTAAACATTTAATTTTGACAGTTTCAGTAGACCTTTGAATACAATTTCAATATTAACAGCTGGTTCATTAAAGTAGTGTAAAATTATCCATATGGTCGTAATGTAAACAAAATTGCAGAGTGAACTTTAAAGGCCTCTGGGACAGAACCCCAAGGAAATTTACCGCGTTTCTCTTTTGAGGGCTCACCTACAGACCAATACCGTTCTTTAGACACCCCTACCAAGTTTCTACGCCCAGCCGTTCTCTCAAATTAGCTGTGACAAAAACCTTGTTTTCCTCCATAAGAATAACATGGGATGGGAATTTAAAGGCCACTGGGGCAGAGCCCCGAGGTAATTCTCCATGTTTCTCTTTTGATGGCTCATCTACAGACCAGGACCTTTCTTTAGACACCTCTACCGAGTTTCTACGCCCAGCCGTTCTCTCAAAATAGCTGTCACAAAGAAAAACAGTTTCAAATTAATATATAGATAATAATAAAGCCTCATGGTAAGGGTGACTGACAAAATATTGTCCTGATAAATCCGCTCAATTTTGTGAATGCCTCTGCAAACACCACCTAGTAGGACTACTTGTACTCTTTTTTAATCTTCTTGTCGTGCCAATCCGATCATCCTGTCGGCCCAAACACGAAGTGGCGTAACTGATAATATTATGATTTTGAGATACGCCGTCTATAGGTCTTACTTGATGTGCTTTAATATGTCACAAAGTGTCGTAACTGTATCTCAACCCACTTTTGACATATGCACGTTTGTTGTGTTGGCGTAAATGATTTATCAGATTTTCAGCAATCATGAACTGGCGTAAGTAGACTTACGCCAGTTCGTGTTGAGAGGTTTTGGTCCAACTTCCAGTATTGTACCAAACATGAACTGTCGTAACTGGTGGTGGTGCACCTGTTTGAGATGGTATTAGATTTCAAATATTTTTCCTTAATACACTACGAAAAAGGCAAAGAACAGCAAGAACTGCTTTGGATAAAGT